GTGAGACACTTGTTTAAGTTAAATGAATAAATTAGTATTTTAGATTTTAGGGGCTGTGGGGGAGGACAAAGCACAGGGAAAGCAACGTCAGACATTCTGGGGGAAGGAATTTAGTACTAAACAGGATCAATGAGAAGGTGAGATTTTCACAAAGACCTGAAAGAGGAAGTGAGGGAAGCCACGAGACTACCTGGGGTGAGAGTGCTCCAGGCAGAGGGAACGGCTGGTGCAAAGGCCCTGAGGCAGGGGGACTGGTGTGTTCAAACAGTAGCAAATAGGCCAATGCGGCTGGAGGGGAGCAAGTATGGGGTGCTGAGCAGGGAGATGAAGGTGGGGAGGTGGTGGGTCAGGCCTTGAGGACCACAAAGAGGACTTTGGCATTTACTCCAAGTAAAGTGGGAGCCATGGAAGGTTCTGAGCAGAGGAGGGAGTGCTCTGGGTCAGGTGTTCACAGGTACCCTTTGGCTGTTGTGGGAAGGATAGACCTTCTCACTAGGATTAGTTGGGGAGACACTGTTCTCCCTGCCTTACCCATAGCAGAGCTTTCCAGAGCCAAGGTACTAGAGGTAACCCCAGCCTCAATGAGGCTTCTGCTGCATCAGGAACGGCCCTCAGCTGACCATCAACTTAGCTGTGAACCAACCCACCTTTCCTGGAAACTTTTATTTCTCAGTCATGGAAATAATAGAATGAACGTATTTGGGCATAACGGCTTTAATTTTTCTTGTACAGAAAAGTGCACATTTTTTCCAAATTGGACATGCAGAAGAATCACATCCAGGATATACACGGCCAGCTGAGAGCTAGTTCAGTAGTGTGTTTCAGGATTGTCAAGGAACAGCCAGTAGCAGAAATGATTGCTTCAACACTCAGACCAAAATTCATCCCTTACTTGTTTTTCCAAGTGGAATAGGAAAGACACAAGAACATGACTCTCAGAGAAGGTAAAAGAAAGAAGAAAAAGGCAGAACCCCAGCTGGCTGGTTAGCTCAACTGGTTAGAGCATGGTGTGAAAACATCAAGGTCAAGGGTTTGGATCCCCGTATCCACCAGCCACAGGGAAGAAAAAAAAAAAAAAGCACAACCCCAAACCACCATGGTCACAGCAATTTTCCACCAAAACTGCCTGTGGAAAGACAAGCCACTAATAGCAAATGGTAGGAAAGAAGGCACTGGCAGGTGGCTGTTCCTGACCTCAGTCCCTGGGAGCTGGGAAGTGGTTTTCCCACAACCTGCAGTTTAATTTGTCTGTAAACTCAACAAACCTCCATCCCCCCAGTGATTTACAATGATATCAGCTCCACTTCTCCAGAGACCATCTTGAGTGAAACCCCCCAAAATTATAAAATTAAAAAGTTGCCTTATTTTTAGAAGATACAAAAAAAAAATTTTTTTCCCCCTACATTATCCCATTCCAGTGAAAACCCTGAGGCAGCTCTCTCAGTTGCTACTTAAAGCTGAGCTTTTTGAAAAGCCTTATGTAAACAGAAAGCTTAGACTGGCTCAGGTACAGATGCGGCCAAAGCTGTTTTTTATCACACGGGCTCCTCCTTATTAACAGCAATCTGATCCACCCCGTTTTTTTGGCAGCAGTTTAGAGACAATGGACCAGCCAACGAAATCTTGACAGGCCATGGCACATCTTAAGCCTTTTTTAGTGGCCTTAATTTGATTTTAATATTAAAGCAACTAAAAAAATTTTTTTGACTCTTTCCCCAAATACGTTGTTTTTACAGGATTTATTCATTTCACCTTGCTCATCTAATTTGTGGGTATACAAAGATATCTTCTTTGAAGATCTAGGGGCAGCCCCTAGTAGGGATAAACGGGGCTCCCTAGAAATAAAATCGAACTTGAACCAGGCCTTCCCCTCACACATTCCCCCAAGAGGAGGCTGAGCTCATGAAGGCTGCAGGGGATCATGCTGGCTGCACAGAGTAAGGGAGGTGGGAACATAAACCACCCACTCAGCCATCCTCACACTGTCGGTTGTGTTGTGGGGCATCAGCTGGTGTTCAGGGACAGAACGAGGTGCTGTACCACCGGAGTTTGGACTTTGGTAGGCAGGAAGGCTGGCTGAACTGGGAGGTTAAGATGTTAAGATCCAAACTGTACATAATCTCCAAGCAGGAGCTCCTGGCTGCTGGGGAGCCCAGACCCCATCAACAAAAAACCTCTTCCACTTTCAAGCTGTGTCCATGAAGTGCAGGCAGCGACAGCAGGTTACACAACCCTGCCTTGTCACCCTTCCAGCCCAACCCCAAAGCATCCCTGAGAAACGAGTCCTCCATTAGCAAGAAACGTCCCATCACTGGGCCCTACTGATGACATGGCTCAGGAAATGGTCATTGGGTCTTCAAGGGTCCTCAGGTTGGAGGAGCCTGAGTTCTTACAGCAGAAAGTCGCCAGCGAGCACAGGCTGTGGAAACATTGCTCAATATCCTCTTCTAGCAGGATGTAAGATTTGGAAAGACCTTGCTGAAAACACAACCAGCCCCCTGGCCCTGAGGTCAACTCCTAGCAGAAAGCCCTGAGTGGGAAAATGCTCGAGCCTGGGAGGTTCTTCACCTACCCCCACCCACCCATTTGGCCCATAGTTCTAGTTCAATTCAGAATCAGAGACACAGTGGACAAACCAAATAGTGGCAGGGGATGTGGATTCTGGGGGAGCTTGCAAGGCACTTCTGGAATCCCTGAAGCTGGGGGTGGAGAGGGGATCTGACTCCCTGTCCCTTCTACAATGGAGAAAGCTCCTTTATTTTTACTTTTTTTGGTGGCTGGCCGGTACAGGGATCACACCCTGGACCTTGGTGTTATCAGCACCACGTTCTAACCAACTGAGCCAACCGGCCAGCCTTTGATAAGCTGCTTTAATACTGCTTTCACAGGTAGAGGGTCTGCAGGGGCCAAAATCGCCATCCCGCCTTGGAGTCTCGAAGGTTCATGGGGCAGACTCAGGGACCAGACTGGGGGACCTGAGAAAGAGAAGCTGCCTTCCACATCTCCGGGGACTAACCCAAAGAAACACACCATACCAAAGGGAAGACAAACCGTCTTCCGCCAGCTTGTGAACACCAGTCAATGCCCAACGCAAAATGAATGGACCTGGAATAGGAGTCTAACCCAGAAGGCACTGTGGATGTCCCTCCATGAGGTGGGTGGGACATGCCACCCACACTACCCTGCTTAACACACCTTGAAAAGCAGCAAGCTCGTGCATATGTCCATGTCCCCAGGGCCCTGCCTGCAGTGCACAGCTGAGTCCCTAGGGTCTGCACCCTCTGACCGGGACTGCTTGAGCAGGCTGGTGGCCACGGTGACGTGGTGAGGGGGTGAGCCATGCAGGAGTGGGGGGCAGCTGATGGGAGGGAAGGGAGTGCCCTGAGCTTGGAGACAGCCCTTTTGGCTCATGCCTTGGTCACAGTCCCTGCCGAGGCAGAAGGGGGTGGGCGGGGGATGGGGGCCAGCTCTAGCAACTGCAGCTGCTAGGCTGGGGGGGCGGGGCGTCCCCCAGGGCTGGAGCTTTCCCATTGCTGCCAGGGCTCGAGGTGGCTTCCAGGGACTCATTCATCTTCTCACAGATGACATCCACCAGGCGCTCGAAGACCTGCTTCACGTTGATGTTCTCCTTGGCGCTGGCCTCAAAGAAGTCAAAACCTACATGGACATAAGGTGGGGACACCCATGAGACCCCCCGAAGGGCAGGACCTGGGCTGTGGCATCACCTAAACCTGGGTTCCAGGCCCAGTTCTGCCCTTTACACTGCTGTGGGATCCTGGCTGAGTACCTTCACCTCTGTGAGCCTCTGGTTTGCTCATCTGTAAAATGGGAATGACAATGATGCTGCCGATACCCAGCAGGCATGGGGGTGCCCACAGGTGACTGTGGCTCAGCCTCCACCAAATTACTGCTGCATGGAAAAGCGCAGCCAGAAAGCTCACCAAGCCAGGTATTTATGTGGACTTCTAAAATGGAGCCAAGTATTTCATGTGTTCTGGAAAGCACACTCTAGGCCAAATAAAACAGAACTGAGGACTGGCTTTGCCTGGGGGTCACCAGTTTGCAAACTAGGCAGATAATGACAGGTTTCCCAGTTGGTGGAGAACACGTGAGACGTACAGTTCTGGGCCGATAGAATGAACTGGAAATGGAAATAATAATAATAATAATGATAATAGGCAGTGCTTACCGTGTGGCAGGAATTAACTCATTTAATGATGCCATCAGGTTCATACTATTTCAGCCCATTTTACAGATGAGGAAACCAAGACACAGAGAGGTGAAGTCACTCACCCAAATTCACACACACAGGTAATGTGTGGCAGAGCTGGGATTCACACCCAGGATGCTTGGCTGGAGTGAAAAGAATAAATATTCCTATTCTCCCACCTTGGGCCTCGCAAGGAAGGGCAGGCTGGTGACTCCTCCTGACGAGGAGGCACAGAGTAGGTTTGAATATATTGTTAGCATCATGGTGGCCACTGTCTATCATTAAAAAAGAAGTTTGTCCTCCCAAAGGTGGGAAATGGTACAAATGCTCTGGGGACTTGCACAAGGTCCCTCGCTTACCAAAAGTGGCCCATCAACCTGAAAACAAGGGTGTACGTGACAAGCCTTCCTGAACCCATTTAAGGTAGCTTCAGGGTCTGCCTGTGGGGAGCAGTCTCTGCACAGAGCCCCACGTGTCCCCACTTGCCACACCCACCAAAGGGGTCCAGAAATTCAGACACTCGCCACATTAAACAGCACAGAGTAACGGGCCTCTATCCCGCTGTCATGCTGTACTATAAACCATGTAATTGTTCATTAGTTAGATGTATAATTATCCCTTTACCATCCATCTCTGCTAGAACACCAGCTCCAAGAGGATAGAATCTCTGTCCACTTGGGCTGGCCGGTTGGCTCAGTTGGTTAGAGCACAGCCTTATAACACCAAGGTCACGGATGCAGATCCTCGTACCAGCCAGCCGTTAGAAACAAAATAAAACAAAAATACTTTCCCTCCACAGCTGCCATCCCAGTGCCTGGCACAGAGCAGGTGCTGGAAAACTCTTTGCTGAATGACTGAACAGATGAATGGATGAATAAATGAATGACAGAAGCAGGGCACGAACCCCAATCTCTTACTCTGAGCCTAATAATTATCCACGCCGCCCCATTGTCTTCCTGGGCAAATTTGGTGTTTCCTTACCCACATGTGGCTCTGCCTCATACAATCTGTGTTCTTTATTTTTCTGACTATGTTCATTAGAGAAACTCACTAGAGAAACTAGAAACTACAGAAAAGTGTCAAGACAGATATAACAGTTATTTGTCATCTCATCACTCAGAAACAGTTACGATTGGTGTTTTGCTATTTAGCTTTCTAGTCCTTTTTCTATATAAATATACAATTGTTGGGTTTGTAGGGGGTGTGTGTGTGGCTTTTGTTTTTCCTACAAAATTGGGGCCAAGGGGCTGGCCAGTTAGCTCAGTTGGTTAGAGAGCAGCCTTGTAACACCAAGGTCAAGGGTTCAGATGCCCGTACCAGCCAGCTGCAAAAAAAACCGGAATCAAATTCTCTCTTGTATTTTAAACTGAGTGACAGAGAGTGGGAACCCCCCCCCCTTCACCCTGACTCACCAGTAGGTATTGGAAACATTTCCAAGTATTCCAGCCCAGGGCGGGTCATAATTAATTTCATCACTCCCAGGCAAATTGGGGATCCAGGGAGTTGCCCACAGAACAAAGACCCAGTTTCTCCAACAAATCAATGGCAAGAATAAAAAGGGAAACAGGACCGGTATAGCTCAGGGGTCAGCAAACTTTCTCTGTAAAGAGCCAGATAGCAAATATTTTAGGCTGCCTGGGCCATACAGTCTCAGTCACAATACTTGAGTCTGTCCCTAGAGCACAAGCAGCCATAGACAATACACAATCGAATGGGCATAGCTGTGTCCCATTAAAACTTCACTTAGGGACACTAAAGTGTGAATTTCATATCAATTTCACATGTCATGAAATCTTACTATTTTTTTCATTTTTTTTTCCCAACCATGTAAAAAAGTAAAAACCATCCTTAGGTTGTGGGCTGTACAAAAATAGGGGATGGGCTGTAGTTTGCTGATTCCTTATATAATATAAAAGAGACTGAAGAGAAAAACCAGTTGCCTTGTAGGGTCCCAATTCAAATTAACTCTAAGATTTTGACAACTGGAGAAATTTGGTATGGATATCAGGGAATGACTGTTCATTTTGTTTGATACAATAATGGCAGGGTGGGTGGGCTAACAAAAGTCTTTTTTTTTTTTTTTGTCTTTTTTACTGACCGGTAACGGGATCGCAGCCCTCGGTGTTGCGCCCGTACTGGGGACCGGCAATGGGATCGCAACCCTCAGTGTTGCGCCCCCACCGCGCTCAGCCAGTGAGCGGGAACCGGTCTCCA